AGATTTTATTTATTTATTTGACAGAGAGAGAGACAGCGAGAGCAGGAACACAAGCAGGGGGAGTGGGAGAGGGAGAAGCAGGCTTCCCACTGAGCAGGAAGCCCGATGTGGGACTCGATCCCAGGACCCTAGGATCATGACCTGAGCCGAAGGCAGACACTTAACGACTGAGCCACCCAGGCACCCCTGAAAATTCTGCATTTAAATAGCAATTTTGCCACCTACTTGCTGTATTATGTTGTACAAGTCAGCCCACCCTTCCTTGAGCCCGGCAAAAGGAATGGTCTCAGTAGATAACTCTTTAATTCCCTCTGAGTCGGGAACTCTAAATCAGAAAGCTTATAGACGTTGCTACTTAGAGGAAAAAGGAGGAGGAAGTATAGCCAGACATTTTCTCCTGGCAATGGGGAAGAGCTGTCCAAAAGTCAATTGAGCTGCCTATAAACGGAAGTGAGTTCTCTGGCTCTGAAGTAATCAAGAAGATACTGGGTAATCCCATCTCCAACCCTGAGAATACCTAAGGGAGGGTGCTTGCCAGCCCAACCATGTCTGCTCTTTGCCTAGCATCATTATATGAATTTCTCTCCCCCCCCCAACACCTGAACTGGCTCACTTATTTTATTAATGTATTTGTTCATTCAGTGAATATCAGTATTTTAGTCATTCAGAATATTACTGTATCTCACCTTATTATGACAAAAAAGTTAACAAAAGATCTACCTTTTTTTAAAAGATTTTATTTATTTGAGAGAGAGAGAGAACAGCGGTGGGGGGAGAGGGAGAGGAAGAGAGAGAATCCCAAGCAAGACTTCCTGCGAGCATGGAGCCCGACTTAGGGCTTGATCTCAGGGCCCCGAGGTCACAACCTGAGCCAAAATTGAGAGTCAGACACTTAACTCACTGAGCCACTCAGGCACCCTGAGATCTACCTTCTTAACAAATTTCTTTGTGTACAATAAAATATTGTTGACTACAGGTACAAAAGACTTCTAGAACTGAATCATCTGGCTTACCTGAAACTTGATGTCTGTTGATTAGCAACTACCTTTCCCACCCTTCCCCAGCCCTTGGCAACAATCACTATTCCGCTCATCAATTCTGTGATTTTGACTACTTTAGATACCTCCTGTAAGTGGAATAATGGAATTATTATTGGAAATTTTTAATGGAAAAAGTGGAATATTTGTCCTTTCATGGCTGCCTTATTTTACTTAGCATGATGTTCTCAAGGTTCATCTTTACTGTCACATATGGTAGGGTTTCTTTTTTAAAGCTGAATGACATTCCATTGTATCAGTAGATCCCATTTTGTTCATCCATTAACCTCTTGATGGACCTTGAGTTTGTTTCCGCATCTTGGCTATTGTGAATAATGCCGCACCAGACATGGGAGTGGGCAAGGCAGAAAGGCAGGTTCCAGCTGGGAGACCCCCTCTTCATCTGTCTAGGGGAACCTGAAGCCTAGAGGCTGCCCAGGTGTTTGGAGCCCCCTATATGTGTTGCACAAGGTGGAATGATGTGAAGAGACAGATCGTAGCATAACAGAGAGGGTAGAAGGTTGCTACGTTCATCCCCCCGACAGCTCTGGGGAGGGTTGTTGGCATCATCAGAAGGACTTGTGTGTGCAAGAGTGGATAATCTGAGGGAGAGAAGAATGGCTTACGTGAGATCTGAGAGGTGCAGATGGGGAAGAGGGAGAGGTTGGGAGAGATAGGGAGGCCACTGGAGCCAGCGACACTGGAGAAACTAGAGGAATGGAGATAATGAGTGAGACAGAACTCGCTTCCTGGGGTTGCTGGGGGAGCTTGAGTCCCCATGGAGTGTGGGATGTAACTCTCCTGCTTGTTCCCCCACGAATGTTCAGGAAGATCTAAATTGTTCAGTAATCCTTTATGCAGTCAGACTGGCTTTTTTTGGAAGGTGCAAAGAAGTGAGTGGATGAATACAGAGCATCCGCAGAGAATCAGTCACCTTGGGATCACACTTGTATCCCTAGTGACCAACCTTGTGGCCAAGGGCAAAGCTCTTTTTCTCTCAGGGACGTGGAGCCTGGTGTACAACCATATACCCTCAGTAAATGGCTGCTGAATGAGCAGAATCCACAAGGTCTGTAAAAGTGGGAGGCTTGTGTGTGTTTCCTTCACCTTTCCCCTGCAGCCCGCTCCCCCCAGCCTCCCCAGGAACATAGATGGTTTTAAGATCAACTGGGGCTTTGGGCAAAGGTTCAGCTGGATTTGTTTGTTCCTCTCTGATCTGCTTTGACTGTCCCTGGTCAGGATCGCAGCCAGCTTGAAACAAACACAATCCAAGTAGGAAAACAGGAGAATAAAATAACAGCAGTATGTACCTCTAAAGCCCTGTCTAGTGCTGATAGAGCTGATGAGATAAGAGAAAATTGTATTTAAACAATAAGAGGGGCTTTGTTCACGTCTTAGACTTCTCTGACCGTGAATGTTTTAGATGCAGAGATAAGGCCTCCCCCGACCCCCAGCACTCCAGAGATGTGCTCCACCACACTCTGCTGGGGACAGGCAGCTCAGAACACAGGGGAAAGAATTCCAAAATGATACATGTCCAATTGCTGGCCTGGATTTCAAATGCCATGGATAGTTTATGCAAAGTCTCGCACTGTTGTAAAATGTAACACAATCCACTGGCAGATCTGCCTAAGCTCCGTCCCAGTTGTTTTTGAGAAAAATAAATAAACTTGAAGACATCTTCCAGCCTATTAAAGTGGCTGCTTTGCCCATAGTCTCCTTGGTATTAGGCTTCTAAAGATTTGCATATCAGAAGCCATCACCTGCTTCTGGCCAATGAGATGTTTGATTCTTGGCACCTCTACTCTCCTTAAGATGTTACCTGTGATATTCAGGACCCACTGGTTTCTCGGAGAGGGGGAGGGGAACTTTGGCAAGAAACAGGTTTCAGTACTTTTCAATGTTCTTAAAGCAGTGAAGCTCATTTCTTAAAGGAAACATTACATGGCAGCTCAATATCTAAGACAGATGAGTGGAGATGCTACAGGTAAAGCAGTAGAGAAGGAAGGAAGCAGATCTCACATCCTGACCCGCAGGCAGACACCTCCAAGGAATCCCTGAAAATCCATGACCTAATCCAACATTCAAATGTCAAAGATAAACCAGGATCTCCTTAAATGAGGCCAGCATGCCACTGCAGAACTTTCTGGGTGACTGATCTGTGATTCTCCAAAGTTGGCTAAGCGACTTATCTTCCTCTGTTTGGGGTTTCAAGAATGAATTGATGAAGATGCTAACAGTAAGGGACACTGGATGAAGCATACTTAGAGGACTCCATATTACCTTTGCAACTTTTCTGTAACTATAAAATCACTCCAATACAAAAAAAAGCTCATTAAAAAAAAAACACTGATGATTGCAGTTGTAGATTGCAACTCATGCATCATGCATTTTATCTTGAGTTTGACTAGTGAATTTGATACATGACTTTTCTACTCTGTTTTTAATTCTTCTGTACTCATTTAGCAAAATCTCTGGGCAATATATGGTCTTGCTTTGTGTGATTTTTATAAGTGACATCATATTGTAGTTGTCCATTTATGCCTTGTTCCTTTTGTTTTGCTTTGTTTTTACTCAGTGTTATGCTTTTGCAATCTCTTCACTAATGTCTTGAACTCAGGAGTAGGGCTTCCGTTTTGAGTGGCCAGGACCCATACTGGACCTGACATTAAATATTTCTAGTATCATCCCTGTATATGAATCTAATTCAGGCCTCTTAAGTCTTTTGCTGTATAGAAATCTGTCACATGAATATTTCTTACCTGATGCATCCCTTCCCCAACAGATGAGCATACAAACTATTCCCGATCTTTTGCCACTACAAATATTGCTAGAATAGGTATCCTTGAATATAATTTTTTTCTTTTTTCCCCTTTTTTGTTTGTTTTACATGTATGTTTACTGTGATTGATATTAGATTATCTTTTGGTTGTTTTTTTTTTAATGGCTTTCAAGAGCCTTAGAGTTTGCTAGGTCAGCCTTTCTCAGGTGAGTAGGGTATAGGGAGACCCAAATCCACAGGGGAGTGTTGAGAGAGACGCCACATTCAAGGTCAGAGGGAAAACACAAATGTGAGATGGCCTTCTGCAAAAGATCTGACCAATCTCAAGAACAAGCCAGTTGCTCCTAGCTTTTTCCATCATAGAACTTTTCTGTTTTCTGCTGTACGGTTTTCAGTTGTGTATGCTGGTGTGGTGCCTTGATGGATATCTACACTCATTGTCCACTGCAAGCTCCCCGCGTCTGTCTCGTCCCACGGTGCTGGGCGAATAGCCATCTCCCAACAAATCGGACTCCGATAAGAGAATGAACTGAGGGATGAAATGACATTTGGATACACAGTATGCACGCGTACGCAGCACACACACATGCACACGCACACACACACTCTGTCTTTGGGGAATATGCCCATCCTGTCCAAGGATATGCCTTTCTCTGTCCGTAATACAGCTCTGAGCATAATGTACAGATTTGTTCTAAAATGGCCTGCTTGCGATTCATGACTCGATGATATCCCACCCCTGATCCTGCATTTTCTGCCACCTTCCCCAAGCAAGCTCTAAGAGTACCAGGCAGCTTAGCACACCCTGAGCATTCTAGATTTCTCCATTCCTCTGAGCCTTTTCTCCTGCTCCCTGCACCCGCAGTGCCCTTCCCCTGTGTCCGCTCTGTTCTTTAAGATCCAGCTCAGATGCCAAGTCCTCCAGCATTTGTCCCCGTGAGCATTTCTCTGTCACCTCTACCACCAAAACATGTTCTCTGTTCTGTCCTTCACAGTGTTGAGGACTCCCTGTTCTACAGTAGAACGTGGGCTCCTGGAGCAGCCTCCAGTCTGTGCATCCCTGTTTTCTCCTGCAGTGCCCAGAACAAAATGGATGGATAGTAAAGGTGCATCTAATTGAATTTAGTTCAACTGCTGAGACCCTCTAAAACATTTTTTTCTTTATCTCTTCCCAGGTGTGTCGAACAAAGGTGATAGATCTCAGTGAAGGCATTTCCCAGCATGCCTGGTACCCTTGTACCATCAGCTACTCGTACTCCCAGATGGCTCAGACCACTTTCTGGCTCCGGGTAAGCCACAGTTTTACGAGCCTTAGAATCTCCAGCAGTGGCCCCCAGGAAGCACCAACTCCCATGACCCTTTCGCAAGATGGTTTGTCTCCCCACTGAGGGTGTTAATTGTAAGGACAGAGAACAAAACACTTAGCAGTAGGAGGCTCCCTGAAATAGAATCCCTTCATCGCGCATGGAATGCCCCTCGTCCTTCTTGTTTTGGCAAAGACTTTGGAAACCTTTTGTCTGCCTGGAACCTTCTATTCATCATTCAAGGCCTTTAAGATTGTCTTCTCCTCCTTGAAGTCTTAACTGATCCCACAGAGAAGTGACTGTTCTCTCCCTTCTAGTCCTGTACATGTCCGGTCATCTGTCGGAAGGTGCTTGTCACATGGTATTATATCACTGTATTTAGGCCCATCTTCCTAAGGATTATGGATTGTGTTTGCATGTCACTGACCCACTTTGAACTCCATAGTCTGCAGAAATGCAAGGGCTGGGTCTTACTTTGCTTTGTCTCCTTGATGCCTCGCACAGAGGCTAGCATGGAGAAGTGACAAATAATAGTAATACCTTTTTTTGTGGTTTTAGGATGTGCCAGACACTTTGTTCCCATTATCTTACTGGAAACTCGCAGCCACCCTGTGATTCAGTTATTTACTTAATATATCACTTAGAAGTGAGGGAACTTAGGCCCAGAGACGCAGAGCGACCACTCCCTGTCACACAGCTCAGCAGGTGCAGAGCCAAGTTGGGACAGAGTTTCTGAACTTCAGAGCCTGTGTTCTTCACTGCCTCCCTATTCCCATCATGGACCCATGATGAGTGGTGCAGGCCCTGAAATGGAGGATGCTCCTTGAAACCCCTGCCCCGTAGCCTGAGCGAGTGAGTGACCCTCCTGTGCCTTCTGCATTTCAGGCATACTTTTCTCAGCCAATGGTTGCCGCAGCTGTCATCGTCCACCTGGTGACTGATGGCACCTATTATGGGGACCAGAAGCAGGAGACCATCAGCGTCCAGCTATTTGATACCAAAGATCAGAGCCACGATCTCGGTGAGCACGTTCTCATGCAGATGGCTCTTGGGACTGTATCTGCCCCGGGGCGGTTCGAGGAGCAGCCGAGAGCTAGTTCTTCCTTCACCTTTCCTCTTTCTTGCTTCTCTGGCATTCTGCTTGCTTTCAAGTCAGGAGGCTTTTGTGTATTCAGAGAAGCCTGGATGTGGCAGATATGGGGATCAGGGGCCACTGTCCAAGTCCTCCCTTCAAGAGCTCCCTTCTGCCAGGCACCTTCAATCTCAGGCGCCCTATCTGATCCTCAAAAGACCCTGAGAAGGAGACTGAGAAAAGGCCCTTTGTCCAGGTATCAGCGCCTGAGACCCCCAGGAGAGGCATTGAGAGACCCCGGGGAGAGAGGAGAGGAGCCAGGTCTTTGGAATCACGGCCATGGCTCTTTCCGCTGTACCCCGAGGCATCCCCTGTGCCCCACAGTGGAACCTGTGTCTGCACACCACCTGCAGGGCTCCCCACGGGAGGAGGAATGAGGAAAGGTCGGGACTGGGAAGGCAGGTAAAGAGCCAGGTCCTGCGTGCCGAGAAGCTGCCTCCACACAGGGCTGGTGGGGAGGACGAGACCAGAGTTGTCACTTGCACACCCTTCTGTGCACCCACGTGTGCACGGGGCAGAGGGAAGAGCCCCAGCTCTGGAGCCAACGGCCCGGGCTTCAGTCCTGTCCCTGCCACTCACTCGGCTCGAGAAGGGGCACACTTCTCTGGACCTCAAAGCCCCTCATGTGGCATCTTGCTCTCTTCTTGGGCACAATGGGGACAACGGTGCCACTTCATCATCAGAGCGAGATTGAGAGAGATTCTATGAGCTATTCCTTAGGGCTGTTGTGACGGTGCCCAGCATGAGACCCGGCACTAGGAAAGTCCTGTTATCCGTCCCACATTCGCACCACACCTCCAGGTGTTTGGAATCCCAGGCCAGCCCTGAAGGCTGGGCTTCCGAGCTATGCATGCACCATTCCACAGAGAGCTCGGTTCAAAGCCCCGTATGAAGCCAGCAGGCAAAGGGTCATCACAGGGTCAAGCAGAAGCCAAGGGAGCAGGGCGAGGATTTTGTTTTGTTTTTATGTTTACTTATTTAGTTTTAGAGGCAAGGCAGGGGGACATATGAATAAGGAAGAGAAGAAAAAACCCTCTGGACTTATCTGGATTCCGGAGAAATTTCCCTAAATGAGAAGCAAATATTTTCCTAGCTGTCCTGGCACTGCAGAGAGCTCGGAGGCGTGGGGGGAGGTCCAGTTCCACAGAAGCTGCTGGGATCCCGTGACTCAGTGTCTGAGGCTTCCACGTGTCCCCATCCCTCCCCGCAGTGTCCCCTGGCCTCTGTCCTCCGTATCCTGCCACCCCCTGGGGAGGCTTTGCTGTTCTCAGGGACCAGAGAAGGCTGCCTTCTGGATGGGGAGCTGAATGTCCCCAACAGCGCAGGCCTGCCAGGATGTGCTTAGGATCAGCCCCAAGTTTAGATGCAGAAACTGAGTTTTAGGAGCTTGCCGGAGTCACATCGTTAGGTAGGCTAAGTCGTGATGTGAACCGAGGTCCACCAGACCCCAAAGGAAGTGTCCATTTTTCCAACTCCATCCCACCCCATCGTTCCCTTCCCTCTTCTGGGTGTGCCCCTCCTCTCTGCCCCCTCCCATCCTCCTTGAAGCCTGGGACCTGTTCCCCGTTCTAGAAAGAACCAAGGGCTTTGGGATGGGGTAAGCCTGGTCTACATGGCTGGCTGTTCTGGGCGCCTCTGGAAAACCACTTCCTGCCCTTGATTCCCAGCGTTACCTCTGCAGCCTGGCTACCGAGGTCCGGACCTCACAGGACTGCTGCTGGGTTCCTGGATTAAAAACGAGGGTGGCCTGTTGCTGTGAATGATTTGTACCATCTCTGTGGCTGACTGGGAAGGCAGCCTGAAAACTAGCAGCTCGGGCCATCGAGCCCGAAGGCAATGTGGGAGGGTGGTGAGGGCCAGCCATGCTTGTGTGAGGGGTGGCCACTGGGGGAGGGAGAGAGGCTGTGGGCGCTAGGTGAAGGGAAAGCTTAGGGGGCGGGAGGCAAAGGGATTGGAAAGATTTGGAACCAAGAGAAAAAGGCAGACAAAGAAACTTTCAATCAAACTCAAAATCCCCACTGGCCACCCAATGGTGCTTTTGTGCAGTGACATGAAAGGGTCTGGGGGCTTCGGGAAGGGCCCGTTGGGGAGGGCGTGACTGGCCTTGAGTAATGAGCCTGGCCCCTCGGCCCTCTGTCTCTCCTGACAGGCCTCCATGTCCTGAGCTGCAGGAACAATCCCCTGATTATCCCCGTGGTGCATGACCTCAGCCAGCCCTTCTACCATAGCCGGGCGGTCCGCGTGAGCTTCAGTTCACCCCTGGTCGCCGTCTCGGGGGTGGCCCTCCGCTCCTTCGACAACTTTGACCCCGTCACCCTGAGCAGCTGCCAGAGAGGGGAGACCTACAGCTCTGCCGAACAGAGGTAAGGGACCCGGGGTCTGATTGCCCGGGGCCATTTGCTAGCCAGAAGCAGATGGAGGAATTCTGCAACTGCGTAGACATGCGTGTGGCTGTGAAAAGTCTGTGTGTTCTCCCTGCTCCATCCTCTGGCCTCTGGTCACCTCTGCCTCTGGGCCTGGGAGGCCCACACGTCCTCTCTGGATTCCAGGGGCCAGGGAGGGAAGCAGGAATGCGCGCTGGTGGAAAGTCTCCCTCACCTGGCTCGCAGTCCTAGCGCTGACAATGGCTTGCTCGTGTGGTAAACATCACTTTCCCTCTCTGGGTCTCAGCATCCACATCTGGACAAAGAGAAGAGAGGTGGATTAACTCTCCTGCAGCTCTGAAATACTGGAGTAATTATTTAGGGGAATGGAGGGAGCCTGGTATTTGCTTTATCCCAGTTCACCGTATTCCAGTGATGGGGAAATCTCTGCGTCTTCCCTAAACCCAGCTCCTGAGATCCCTCCAGCGGTCTCAGAGTCTCTGATAATGGCGTGGCCTCACTCCATCCGTGCCTCTGATCTGGTGTCGTTTATGCCCCTCGTCTGAAGCTAAGAGAGAATGGTGTTTCCTGGCAAGAATAGGAGTTTGGGTGATACTCTTACCTGGGTCTGAACGTGCCCCTTCTCGCCTGTGTGTCCATGACAAGTCATTCACTTTTCTGAGTCTCGCTTTCCTATTTTTGAATAAATGGACAATAATATCTACCCCACCAGGGGTCATGAGGGCTAAATGGTGCACCACAGGTGAAGATCCTCTTGCAGACCATGAGACACCGTGCCAAGGTGATGTATTAATACAGAATAATTATGGCCACTTTCTGATCTGACGGGGGTGCTTCTCTGCCTCAAACTCTGCATGAAGCTCTTAGAGCTGGAGGAAGCTCTGGACATCATCTAGGACATCCAGAGGGTCCAAACTCCTGCGTTACCCTCCAGAATTCTAGAGCCCCCAGAGGGGAAGGGCTGGTCCATGCTCACACAGCACCTCTCAAGTTTGTTTAATGAGACCCAGAAGGAAAAAGAGAGACTGAGGCGGGGATGGGAGTCTCGGTGGGCTCCCCCAGAGTAAGGCCCTCTGAAAGGCGATCCGGCCCTGCCCTCTGTACCTGGGAGCCAGGAGAGGAAAGGGTTGGGGTGGCGGGGGGAGACACTGCCTTTCCCACGCCCCTGCCACCACAGGGGACACAAAAGGTGATTGCAAAACCCACATTGTTTTGCACCCACTGTCTCTAGTTCTGTTGTGCAAAGTCTGTTGCAATCGTTCGGAGGCAAAAGAGCTCCTTAAATATAAATATAAATATATTTCATACTAAAAGGGCTTTTTCATCCCTGGCTCTCCAGACTATAAAAATAAGTTGATTCTCAGAACCCAGGGAAACAATGTCAATGGGAAATGTAAATCCATTAGACCTTTTCTGCAATGCTTTCTTTCCCATCCTTAACCAGCCACCGGGACCACGGGCGAGTTGACGGAGGCCAGCACTGGCTTCTTTGAAATCTTAATTAACAGTTCCTGTGCCCGAAGTAAACAGAAGTGTTTAACCTCAGAAGCAAATCAATTGTTTAGCATTTGTTGAGTTCTTTGGGGGCAGAAGAGCACCGGGCGGGGACTCACTGGTTATATGACTATGAGCCAGTCACTCTGCCTCTCTGGGCCTCAATGTCCCCATCCATGGGATGATGGTGATGGATTGGATGTTCTCTCTGGTTCCTTCCACGTCTGACATTCTGTGCTTCCCAAGAGCTGGGAGGAGTGAGAGGGTGGGGGAAGGAACCAACATGCACTTCATCAGCTTATATCATTATTTTATTTCATGATCACACCTGTCCTGTGAGGTGTGGACAAGAGACAGTGAGTCAAGGCCGTCCAGGCAGTAGGGAGGCAGAATCCTGCTTTGTCTGCCCCTGAAAGCCACGAGGTCCCCATCGAAGCCAAGTACATCCAGGAGAGAAGGGGACTTGTCCTGGCTGCTCATGTGTGAGCATTTAGTGAGGGGGACGCTGGAGGTGAGGGGGCTGTGGCTCTGAGGGCCTCTGTGGCTCGGCCCTGAGCGTGGACCTGGCTGAGACGGGCTGAGCCCCCAGTGCCACAGCTATGGCGGGGGGGGGGGTACTGGGGGCCCCTCCTGAATGCTCCAGGGGACCGGGGGTGAGGAAGGAGGAGCTGCTCCTGGAGAGCAGAAGAGGCACACACCCAGTCAGGACTGCACAAATGTGCAAATGCATTAAAACAAGCAAACTGGGAGGAGGGAAAAGAAAAATAAGCAACAACTGTAAAAAGCCACGGGATGTTTTTCTTCATTCTCAAAACACCAAGGTAAATAGCATCACTTTTTATAGCACACATTTCAGCTGGCTCTGGCAGAAACAGCCCACTTGCCTCTCAGCTGTTTTCCAGATAGCGAGAGGGGCCAACCTTGCCTCCCCAGCCTTCAGCCCTCCGCCCCTCGTCTCCCGTCCCCACTCGTCCTCTTTCTTGCTGCCTCTGTGCCTTCCCCGCCATCTCCACCCGCTCAGCCTCCTCTCCCACCCTTTGCCCCTTCTCATCTTCATTATCCTCTCCAGAGAGCGTGATACCTAGTGGGCTACCCGGGGAGGAGCATCACTACAGCAAAGTCAATCCAGGCGGTGTGTTCTGACCTAGATTCAAGGGTCTCCAGGCCCTGTGCAGCACTTACACTAAATTCAGAGGCCCACGAAAACAGAATCGGGTTTCAAGGGAGAGGTCCAGTGGAGAAATTCTAGCCAAATCCCAGCGCCACACCTAGGGGAAGGGGGAACGTTTGGGGGCTTAGCGATGGTGGTGAGGAAGGTAAAAGGCTTCCCGGTGAGAAAAGCAACAGTCTGGGATTGAGGCTCCTGTGTGTGCGTGTGTACGTGTGTGTGTGTCTCTCACACACACACGTACACACGCACACACATGCACACACACTATCCTACGGTTCTAAACAGAGATTGACCAGCTTATTATAAAATTCAGTGGGCCGTGTGCTTACACAATTAGTAAACTCCCTTCCTCTCTCCCTTCCCTTCCCTTCCCTTCCCTTCCCTTCCCTTCCCTTCCCTCCCTTCCTCCCTTCCTTCCTTCCTCCCTCCCTCCCTCCTGCCCCATTTATTATTTGCATTCTTTCTCCCTCTACCTCAAACTCTTCCCACTTCCCCATGCCAGCCCACCCAGAGAAGGGCAGTTCGGACAGGGAGCTAACTTTGAGAAAGCCAGCTCTAGGAGGAAATAAATTCTTCATGTGACCAGATTGAGTCCTTCCAGCCAGCGTGGACTTAGACTGGGTGGGGTGGGGGTGAGGGATGGTGCCTACAGGAGCCCACGCATGAATATCCATCCCATCAGATGACTATATAGGAAATTCGCGTATGAGATTTGGAACCCAGAAAGAAGCTTCTCACGGCCAGAGGCCACAGGCTCCCCCAAGTTATCCAGCCCACAGGGGGATCAGTGCCTCTTGGAACACCTGTTGGGAGTTGCCGGCAGATGGAACTGCAGTGCCTGAGCACTTGCGTCTCTTCGGCTGGACCAGATGCTCCTGATTCTTCTCCAAGATGTTGTTCAACTTCTAATCCCATCAGAGTTCTCCCGGAGTTCCTCTGCTTCCTCATCCTTGTCAATAATTGGGATTATCAAAATCTATTTCTCCCCCTCCCCAAGGGCTCTGAGATTATATACCTCTGTTGTTTTGTCTTCATAAAACCGTGGTCCCTGGAAGCTGGGAGGCCTCTAACAGGTTCTCTGGTTCTGCATTCTCATTTGAGGTCCCAGCAAGGGACGTGAGCTCCCCAAAGCCACCCAGCCGCTCAGCAACAGAACTGGCATTGAAATTCACTTCTCAGGCCCCTCTTCATCAGAAGTTTCAAGACTGCTGTCACATAGGCCAGATAAGACCACAAATAACTTGTGTTTGGCCCTCCTTAATCCTCTCTTTTAATTAGTCGCCAACATTTAACTACCAGGAGTGTTCACAGTAAAGACATCGGCAGATCTGGAGACATGGTGGGGCCGGTGCCTGCGGGCCACCTGAGCCAGGAGTGACCCCCTGCCACTCTGCTGGCCACCCCTCCCTCCCTCGGGAGCCCCAAGAGAGCTTGCTGCCATCCCGACCCTGCAGGCCTTGACTTTGCCTCATCGCCATTGGGCAACCGCCTCACTGGCTCCTAGGATTCCAGGGTACAAGAGCCTTCCAGGATCCCTTCCAGCAGTCGATGCATTCCTGGGCAGAAAACAAGGAGTCCTATCTTGATCATTCTTTCTCAGTCTTACTTCCCAGGGACCCTGCAGCGCTCCTGCCAAAGAGCATCTTCCCTCCCTTCCCGGTGGGGACATGCTGTCTTCTTCGCTGTCCCCATCTGAGCAACCCAGAGTGACTTATAAACCACCTTCCTGTTATTATTCCAGCTCCCCCCCAACCCCCACCCCATGGTGTAGTTGCAGCAAAGGGGCAGGGCGCAGGAGTTAAGCCGAGAGTCAAGGGACACGGCCAGCAGTGGGACCCACACCAGCCCTATACCGCTGGTCTTCTGTGTTCTGGTTGAGCACCATCCATCCTTTCTGCTGTGCATGCCTGGGGGCCAGTGCCCTGGGCAGTGAGGACAGCAGTGGGGAGATTGGCTATTGAATCACTTAAGGATATGCCTCTATGTGGAACTTGAGTCTGTAAGTAAATAAATTAAATATATAAATAAGTTAAATAAATTAAATAAAATAAATATAAATATATATGTGTGTGTATATAAACATATGTATATACACATACATACATATATATGAAGAAAAGACAATTTATAAATATCTCATCATCTTTGTATAGGGGGAGAGTGTCTTCATCTTTGCCCAGGTCTGAGAATTTCTTTGATAAAAGTACCTATGTCCCTTCCCCCATCCCTTAGATCAGCCAACTTCCTCCCTCTGAGAAGTGGCTTCTTTTTTTCCTTCTTTTGTTATTTTTATTGCTCATCACTGATATTAAAT